TGGCGAGATCTTGGCTCACTGCAATCTCTGCCTCCCGGGTTCTAGTGATTCTCCTTCCTCAGCCTCCCAAGTAGCTGGGATTACAGTGCGTGCTACCACGCCCAGCTAATTTTTGTATTTTTAGTAGAGATGGGGTTTCACCACGTTGATCAGGCTGGTCTCGAACTCCTGACCTCGTGATCCACCCACCTCAGCCTCTCAAAGAGCTGGGATTACAGGCGTGATCCACCGTGCCCAGCCAACTCTCTTAATTTTATGAAGGCTTGGCGAGGTAAAAAAGCTACAGGAGAAAAGTTTAAAGCTAGCAGAAGTTGATTCATGACTTTTAAGGAAAGAAGATATTTCTATAACATAAACCAAAAAATTTGTGTGATTTGCTTTATTGAGATATTTGTTTATTGTAGTAGTGTGGAACCCAACCTACAATATCTCTAAGGTATGCCTGTAATTCCTTTGACTTAAAGACAGAGAATTTTAGATCTTTTCATGAATCCAGATGAAGCTGCATTTCATTCTCATATAGTCAATGCTGAACACAGATTAAATGTGATGTTTTGTTGTATTTTATCATTTAGCTAAATATTTGTTCATGACAATAGCCAAGCAACTCTAGAAAAACATATATTAATATTCAGGTCATGATAGTGTAGTTGAAACATAATTAGTATGCAAAAATGCCTCTGAGTAGAAACAAAAGTGTAGTCTTTTGTTTCTATCTTTTGCATAGTTACAAAACCAAAAGAGACTGTGAATGTGTAATGAACAGCAGGTTTTAACCTCTCAATTAAAATGCCAATACATCACAGTATTATACTAACATGTGAAGGTCAAAGAAACTTTGCTTTCTTTTTAGACTTTAATTTTGATGCATTCACTAGACGGGTGCCATAGAAATTTCTACCTGAAAAACTCTTCTAAGTATGGATTGAAGGGCTTGGACAACTGAGTGTTTCTAATGTGACAAGTGATTATAACCCAAGCCACAATACACAGTGCTTTACTGACAGTAACAGTTGAGACTGTTAATAGCTTTTCCATCTTATGACAAAATACAGTGACACATTCAACACTATGTCCCATATAACTGTTAAAATTGGGGGGAAAAAAACCAAATGTATTCTTGAGACAGATGAACATGATAGAATGTCCATAATGGATGTTTAAAATGATGTGGAAAGAATAAATAATCAAGATTTCAAAATGGCGAGTACAAGACTACTATAAGAGTTAATAACAATTACACAATTGGAGTTTGATCTTCACCAGAGCTGTCATGTCAGGGGTAGTGAGGACTTCAGTTGGTGCAGTTCATTGTGGCTGTCAACACAGCTGTGCCAGCGGCCGGATCACAGAACACCAGCCCCCTTGGTTGTGTCCGCCAGACACTGTGAGTTGTGCAGTTCTGATAGACTGTGACTGGCAACTCGCCAGTCTGACTCATTAACATCACTGCATATTTAAGCTTGTATATATATATAAAGAACATGTATAAATACATAAAAATAGAGCATCATAGCAAGGCACGTTTCTTCCATCTGTGTTTTCCTATACTATCACAAACAAAATCAGGTTTGAACTGAACTTATTTCTAGAAATAAGTTTTTAAGGAATAATTTAGGGTGGGCAGATTAGCAATCATTTTATAAATAAGCTATTCCGTATTTGTATTCCTACTGTTCCTAATTATTAAATTATCCTCAGTTCCAAAAATTTGATTTTCAATAAAGAAATTCTATTTCCTTACAATTTGTCTAGAAGTCCACGGGAATCTCCATGCCTACTATCATAATAGAATTGAGTCAGAAATGGTGAGTTTCATGCTCAAATTTGGAGCAATTCTGAATTCATTTTGTTTTAAGAGCAGTGAAAAGCAATAATAAAACTGAAGTGTAGGTAGGAGACGAGGATAAACGCAGTTATAAAAACCTTGTTTTGATCTCCAAATTAGTCAGTATATATACTAAAAAAGAGATAAACTACATGAAACAGTGAATGAGACTGACTAAGCGGGAGAACTGTAACCAGGAAGATGCTTGATTCAATCCAGTTTAACACTTCTTATTAAACTCGTACATCTAGACTGTTGGCATTGAAAAAGAGATAAAGGAACAACAAGATAGAATGAGCACCTATTCTATAAAGAAATTTTCAGCCAAATTAAAGGGCATTTATGGGATCATCTTTAGTGAAAAAAATCTTCCCATGAACAATAATCAAGATTGGACCCAGCTTATCAGGACCTTAGCAGCATGGATATGTATCATTTCATAGATGGTTTCTTCAAGTGATTTTTAAATTAGTTTCACCAAATAATTTTCTTTGACCATAGGTCTCAATAAAACCTTTTTTTTTTTCCTCTTTAGGCCCATTTAGTGATGCTTATTGCTGTAGGAATGCTTATACAGTTGGAGAGAATTAATATATGCCAAACCACTCCTCAAAGCTCTCTAACTGTATAATTCAGAGGAAATATTTTAATCTTTGAATGTCTCATGAATATAGACAAAAATATATCAGATTGTTTTGCAGACTATGGTTTTATTATGTGTGTAGGTGTGTATGCTCAAAAAAAAGCATTACCATATTAAGCTCTTAATGCTCAAAACAGGTAAGCGCTTCAATTAGAGATTCCAAAGGTCTATTGAAGCTAAATAAAAAAGAAAATCATATGGTTTCCTGCCTACGTAGTATAGCGCTTAATTGTAAAGTACAATATCATAAGATATAGTTTGAGCCGACAATCTCCACTGTGCAATTATTACATGAGTCCAGTGGGGCTTTTCTACTTGATATGAGAAAACATTCAAATCCAAATGCAAAATTGTTGATTGAGCGAGCCTATTTGGAGGTCTCTGGGTGCTTAAACAGGAACTCTGAATCTTCTATAATACATTGGTACTATCCTGAATTAAGTGAAATAATGAGACAGAATTTCCAGAAAGTCTCAAAGTACGTCCCTCAAGTGTTTAATAACAAAAGAAAAATGACTTAACATTTACAGGTAAAAGCATGGGGGGTGAGGGTGGCTTGGCAGGGTATGAAAAGTCAAGAAACAGACTCTTGATAACAAAATGTTTACCCTTTTAATCTTATTTAATTACATCGAGGGACTTCCAAGGGGCAAAATTTAATTAACGTTAGTGAAGGTTTCTGTGAAATTGACACCTTGCTGATACACCAATGCGCTGGCTTGTGAATCTATTCTCTGGCTGTATATAGTAATATACTGTTGGTTCTTAAAAACTGGGAGGCATTCTTATTCAAGGAGGTGCAGTTGCTTTGACACCAAGTCTCACCTCTTTTTGTTCTATCTGCACGAAGGCCCTCCTTTCTCACCACTATCGGCACTGCCTGGGAAATTTCCACTCATTCTTTAAGATTCGATTAACACCTCTTCCAGCTAGCATATTGTGACAGCCTCTCCCTTAGGTTTAGACTGGAAAGTATAGGCATAGTGACTTGTTAAATTAAATATTTGCCCCACATCTCATAGCTTGTAAGGGAGGGTACTGGATTAGAACTGAGTTCTCTGACTCCATCACGCCCTGTCTCCTCCCCCATCCTTCCTGCACAGTGACTTGCCATGACTTGGTGGCTACTGTGATGTTGGTAAGGTGGACCTGACTTGGTTGCAGAGCTGAAGAGGCACAGAGCAGAAGGATGTAGAGACATCATCAACACACTGACTTCCCACCACAGAGGAACAAAACAAAATGCCTTCATGTATCCAGGTTGAACTCGTGCTGCTGCCATGTAGAAGGAGCACAAGGGTGTGCTGGATCATCAGGTCCATTTTACCAACAGTAAGAGAGAAGACTGGAAACCATGTTCCATTTTCCTTCTCTTGATTCTCAGAGACAAATGCTTTCCAGTGACAGTCATACTACTACCCGTAATTGGAGTTGAAAGGCACGTTCAGAACCAATTTTACCAGGACAGAGATATGGCGTCACCAAGTAACTTACTTATCTCCTTTGCTTTTGGAGATGCCGACCAACTTCTCGATGCCACCGGCATCCCGTAAGGCCTTGGCATTCTCCATGTTCTTGGTTATCACTTCATGCAACGTGCAGCAGACGGCTGTCACTGTGTCATCCGACATGGCCTTACTTGCCGTGTTGTTGCTGTTGTTTCCTCCTGGAAGCCTGTGGACTAGGTCTCGCATGGCGTATTTGCCTGGCAAAGAAAATAAAGAGAAGAGTTGAAAGGAGGTCAAGGTGAAGGCAGAGATAGTGGCAGAGGTGGGTATGGGGGAGAAGAGAATACAAGAGACCATGTTTATGCAGTATTGTTTGTTTCCCATCACTGAATGTTCTCTATTGGGTAGTTCAGGACACATCTACAGAGAAAAGCAGTCATTCCTCATGGCAGTGCATCCACTCTGCTGCTACATTGACCTGGGATCAAATCACTGGCCAAGTTATTTCATGCTTCTGAAGCCTCAGTTTTTTCAATCTCTAAAGTAAGACAATAATGGTGCCTGCCATACAAGGTTGCCATAAACCATAAATGACTGCATGTATGGAAATGAACAAGGACACAGGACTCAACAGGTATTAGCTATTATTATGTTCTCGCTTGATGTTTATAGAAGTCAAGAAAAATGTATGGGAATTCTAACATAACTCTCAAAAATAACTTAATGAAAGCTATGTCGGGACCTGCATTTTTAAAAAACAGTCAAAGCAAAAACGTGTGGGGAACATGATCACATATGTGAATACTGAGTTTCAATTCATTTACAGCAAAGGAAAACACTGAAAGCAGGAGAGGTACTTGACAATCTATAACTGTGTGTCCTTTGAACTACAGTAACCCGAAGCTGTTTGTCTCTCTGACGGAATTTTATTGTGTAGTTCTACCACGTAACACTTACTAATTTGGTGTGTTTTTGTGTGAAAAATATAATACAATCTAATTCTGCTTCCTTAATTCACTTTAGCATTATTAATCTTACTATTCCCAATGATAAAGGTGCTTCTAATGATATATTTATGGAGTACTTTTCGTTTACAAAGCACTTTAGGCATTACCAATAACCCGGCAAGACAATTAATTTATCCCACCTGCAGCTTCCAGTTCTGCTCCTTTAATTGACTTCTGGAAGTAAGTAAATGAGTGCCTGTAGCAAAGCTGGCCGTTCTCACATTTTTCAGACGGAACTGGCAAGTGCTCAAAGTTAGATCCCTTCCTTGTCTCCCATGCCCCAATTAGGCATACTTAGCTAGCTCCTAAAGGCCATTTGAAATATTTCACCTCCATATATATCTATAAATAATGTCTTCTTCTGCTATTTAATTCTCTGGCGCATGGTGCCTGGCAGCAGGAAGGGAACCTTGTGAGAGTAGGCGATGATATCTTAATTCCAGGCAAACACAGGCCCTTGTAATTTTGGTATCTGCTCTTATCCTATGTTTAGGTGGCTTATTTTAGCTTAGAGAGAAAATGCTGATGCTTAAATTACTGAAATAGAAAAGTGTGTTCATTCACTTAATGATAGCTGAGGAAGTGTCTGACAAAAATGGTTTGCCTGCAAACCCCCAAACGTAGCATACTTATTTTCTAATGACAGCACCTAAAATAGTTTATCTGTTTATCATTAAATCAGCCTTAACTCTGGTTAAGAGTTTACTTTTGTAGGGCTCACCATGCTGGAGATTCTATCAGGTTATTAACCCCCACAAATCATTAGAACACACATTTGAGCTCCATACACATGAGATGATCAATGTGTTCCTTCTTCTTTTTCCTTATAAGGAAAGTGATGAAGGAAGGGCAAAATCACTGAAAAAATACTCCAGTCATTGTATATACAGGGACATTTACACCCTTGACTGTGTATGGAGAACTGGTTTTGTGACCTTGGGCACTGTCAAGGTTAAAACCAAAAAAGAAGAGAGGGTAAGAATTTTGCTGTAGTATGTTTTAGTTTTGTTGGTATTATCATTTTGAAAATTACGTCAGATAAATATGAAGATGTAGTCTCATCCTCCATGACTTTCCAACCCTTGAGTCCTGATTAAGATGCAGGTGTCCCTGTAATGTTAGTTTACTTACAGAGAATAAGCAGATGGCAGGGTACCCAACCCCTGCAGAGCAGCCTCTTCTGCTCACCCCAGTGTGCCATTAAGTGCTATTGTTTTCCACGTGCCCCATGATATGGAAAAGATCAGGAGTAACTGTTATATTTAACCTACCCCAACTTTACTGTCGAGGAAACTCATTGGAATTATTTTATTTCTAGTATTTCCAGTATAGGTCACTGACATTTTACTAGGCAATTGGAGATTTTTCATGAAGTCTATTTATCAGTCTATCTGGAGGGATATATTTTAGTCTATATTTTTGATCATCCAAGTAAAGAAACAAACCAGGTAATATTATTGCATGGAGAAGGAAACCTCAGGGCAAAGTTTGTTAATTATTTTAAAAGGTTACAATTCTTTTTTAGCCTTTGATTATGTGTTGAAAATGCTGTCTTTTTACAGTGAAATTTACATCCTATCTTCACAAGAAATTTGGGTAGCAAGAAAAGATTTTTAGCTTTTTCAAGTGTTTAGAGACTTTGAAGCTGATTAGGGAAATAATAAAATACGCAACATAGAATAATTACAGACGCAAGTGACCTTGCGTTGTATGTTTATAACAGTAGTTCAGGGAAGACACAAGTTAGATAGGACTGGAGTTGTTGTGGAAGGCTTGATTCAGGAGGTGTACATTTAGGATTTTTTGTGGTATGTCAAGGGGGCAACAAGAACAACTTGATATTTTACAAAAAGAATTCTGGTGCATTAAGAAGGAAGGTTTCAGAACAGTAAAACTGAAGGTGGAAGAAACATACAGTCTTTTTCTCGACAATAATGCTTCCTTCTTCTAGGCTTCTAGTGAAATTGTAAACACTACAACTCAAGGGAGTGTGTTTCTATAACTGTTCCATATCCTGTATTGTCTTTTTAACCTAAGTTTCCAAACACCTGAAAGAGCCAGGAAGTTATTCTTGCTACCCAGTAGGAGGAATCTTGACTCCTCTCCTTCTACTGGTCAGGCAGACTTTTGGGTCTTTGAGGTCTGAGATTTCTTCAGAGGGTAAAAGAAGTGAATTCCCTTTCTTGGGGGATCGTATTGGCAACAGGAAACTGCAAAGTGGGTGGTTCAAACTTTTTTTATAGTTTGACACCATCAAGGTGATCAAATTGTTTCCTTTTCTTTTTAGAGACAGAAATGGATGGAGGTAGGGTTCTTTTAGGACTGGGGAAGAAAGAGGCTGGACCACCAGGTGGAGGTTGTGGGCAGTTCTTCATAGTCCCAGGGACAGAAAGGGCAGCTGTGGTCCTGTGGTGCACTGAGATTCTCTGTGGATGCAGAGCATAAGCTTCCCCCTGTGTTTGAGCCTGGCATGGGGTAGAGGAGGTACCTGTCTTGGAATGACCTGCTTAGGCCCTGAAAAGGAGCAGGCACCAGTAACCACTGCAGATGGCTGCTCCAGCTGACTGCACCACCTTCTTCTTCTTCTTCTTTTTTTTAAGACAGAGTCTCACTCTGTTGTACAGGCTGGAGTACAGTGGCATGATCTCAGCTCACTGCAACCTCCATCTCCTGGGTTCAAGCGATTCTCCTGCCTCAGCCTCCCGAGTAGCTAGGACTACAGGCACACACCACTACACCTGGCTAACTTCTGAATTTTAGTATAGATGGGATTTCACCATGTTGGCCAGGTTGGTCTCCAAATCCTGACCTCAAGTGATCTGCCTGCCTCGGCCTCCCAAAGTGCTGGGATTACAGATGTGAGCCACCATGCACAACTGACTCTACCTTCTTCTAGATTTAATTTGGTTAAGTAAAAGATATGACACAGACTGAAAATAATAGAGTGATTCATTCATTTGTCAGGAAACTATAATATTTCAGGAAAAAAGAAGAACCTGTGACTACAAAAAGGTGGTCATGGGGAGATCAAGGACATGGGAGCAGCCATGATGGAAATTCTTAAGAAGTAACTGACAGGGCTTGGAGCCCATGGAAATGTTGAGGTAATGTAGGGAAACATGATTCAGAGATTTCACATGGGAATAACACAGAGGGTAATAAGAACCAAGTGAATTTTAAAGCTTAATATTAATGGATAAGTTGAATCTTATTTTTCCACACAAAGAAAAACATGCAAAATTACATTACTTATATGAGAGAATCACACACCAAAATCCTGTCAGAGAGACAAGCAGGTCATCAGGTTCAAAGAATATTTAGATTTATGAAAGCACAGTGGATACCTTGCCTTGCTTCTATTTTGAATAAATGTGCTACCAATGATCCACTATCATGGAATCACATCTGAAAAAGGGAAATCATGGTGCTCGCTTTGGCAGCACATATACTAAAATTGGAATGATACAGAGAAAGATTAGCATGGCCCCTGTGCAAAGATAATACATAAATTTGCGAGGCGTTCCATATTTTGTTTTTTAAAAAAGAAAAGCTTGTTGCTGTGTCAGATTGAAACAGTACAAAACAAGACTCTACCACCATCACTATCACAAACAAAATCACTCTTTCTTGCTAAAGTTCCCAATAGAAATGAATCCTTGGGCCATTTCTTTTAAGTTACTTAGTCTCTGATAACAATGACTATATCTCTGATTTTTGCAATACTGGTAAGAGACGACCCCTGGTGATAATATAATTGTGCGGAAAAAAGACTATATTTTCATCAGTGATGGACTAACTACAACTTTGGAACTTTGCTACGCTTTCCACTGTGTGTGTGTTTCCTTCAAATACCTGTATTTTGTATTTGGTGAACCAGTTTTCTAAATCCAGATTTCCTTGAAAAACTGCAAGTAAAGATTATTTTCTCTTTGCAATGCTTCATTCTCGAAATCTTCCGTTAAGCGTTGTTGGGCACACCAAGGTACCCTGAGGGACTCACTCAGGAGACCTAACAAACCGTGTTGCCCAAGAAAGGCACTCCTTGCAGAGCGCTTGTGCAGAAAGGAGCTGGTGGGGATTTCATGATGAGGTAACAGCCTTGCTCTCGTTGACTGCTTCTGTTTCCATGTTGTGTTTATGACCTTCTATTTCCATTTCTGAAGTAAGCCTGTGTTTGTTACTGATGTGCATACTACCATTTGGTTTTCGCTTTGGTGGCAGGAATGTTGAGTGGTGGTCTTATGGTCTAA